TTCCTTTAAATTGTTGAAGATCATAGTTGATAAGAAAGCAAGAAACTGTAAAAGATTTTCACAAGCGATAGAACTTATAGTTATATCTAACAATTTCAACATCAAAATGGTAAATCCTATCTGTCAATCTAGTAGTACGCTTAAATTTGTGAAGTCACTTTCAATAATATCAAAATCCGCTAGTTTCATGCAAAAATATTAAGTCAATATAATCTAGAACAAATAACTATAATCTGATTTATTTAATTCAAGGTGGCAAAATATTTATGTATATTTTAATTAAATACTTGTTTCTATTCATTCTATTATTCAACAGCTGGCCATCCATTCATTGCAGGATTAGTCATTTCTAGGCACACATTACAGACTTCTCCAATTCTTCTTATATGGTGTAGCTTGAGCCAATAATTTCTATGCGATATTAGGAGCTTCTTTCCGCTGGTAATGACGTTCCAAAGTAGGTAAGAAAGATCGACGCTACCTTTGTATTTTCTGTTGCTTAAACACAACTTACAGCTGTGGAAGTGCCATTTCTATTCAGTTTCAGCGGCTCCTATAATCATCTTACCTTCATAAACAACGTCTCTTCTCAAACACGCTCCATTAAGATAACATTATTCTTTTTACTCTGCATTTACACCCACTCCATTATTTTTCTATTATGATTTATCATATTTTTTTTTATACTTTTGCTTCAGCTATAGTTCACCTTCATATTGTTTCTGTCTTACATTTTAAGCTTTTAGCTTATTTTAAGCCTCAGATTTTATTCTCTCTCTCTCTTTCACTATATATATATATATATATATATATATATATATATGCATGAATAGAAAATATATAGTGCCTTCAACAGTGCTAGGAATAAAATATACAGTGCTTAATGTAAAAGAACAGAGCTAAGATATATATTAAAAATCTTAAAATAATTATAAACCTTATCTCTTATCGCATAATGCTACATAAAGTTTCATGCAGTACAGTAGGGAAAAATCAGGAATGATTTTATGGCTGATGTTTGCTTAGTGCATGAACATGTGGTAAGGAATCGGGATACACATGTTTTAACACACACACACACATATATATATATGCGGAAAATATGAGTATTATATTAAATAATAAAAATAAGTTCTAGTTTTTGAGGGACAGCAGCAATGAAGCAAAATTAAACGATATCCAAAGTAAGCATGTCAAATACTTTACAAATATTGAGAAAACAAAAGTAAAACACTTGTAAAATCGCGACAAATATGTCCATATATATATATGTGTGTGTGTAGCTCATACATTCCTGTTTCGATGTAACACAGCTCATCAGTGCGATAAACATCCGCATACTTCAAGCCAGGATCGAAACCCGATCGATTTGTGTCAGGCGGAGTTTCTACCCCTAAGCCATCAGCACTCGCCAAAGAAAATGGCGAATTCTAGCGTATTGTTTTTTACGAATGTAAACAAACGCCAGTCATATATCTCCCATTGAGTTCTGGCGTTAATAAAAAAGTGCTCGATGTATAATAACAGATAAAATTTATGCTAATGATAAATATACATTCTTTTTCACACCGGTAGCACAACACTGAGTTTCATGTACGATACAATCGTCAGGTGCTGATTGAAAACTCTTTTCAAAATTCTGTTTTCAATCAGCACCTCACGATTGTATCGTACATGAAACTCAGTGTTGTGCCACCGTTCAGGAAAATGTTTGTTTATTATTATATATCTGAGGGCAGTTTTCGTCATTAGCCATCTAGCCATTGCCGCCTCTGTCTGACCATCAAGAGTAATTGTTGAAAAGAACGATTGAAAAAATCTTCATGGATTTTTTTGCCCATTTCATTCGATTTTCTTTATGGGCGTCTTTTAATGTATCGATATCACGTTTTCCTAAGTGATTTAGCACATGACATTTTGCGATTTTCGACACTGCCTTTCTATCACAACGCCTAATTTTATATATTAACAAAAAGATTTCTTTTAAATAACTTCTCTTTTGAGACGATACACAGATTAGCAAGATAATCGAGTCTTCAAATTGACCTGACATCAGTCACAATTCGGTGTTACCTAACAATCATGTTTTACATAATGTATTTAAATGAACCATTTTCAAGCTTCTAACTCGCAACGGAGTTATGAATTGGTGAATTCCAAATTTAGGACATTCACAACAAATGGCTGCCGTTTGTTTACATCTATGCAGAAAGAATTGGCTTCCATTCTTATATGTGCAGTTAGATATTGGCGTTGTTCAGCAAATAAATTTTTATATTCCTGTTTATTTTATTAAACAATAAAACATAAAGCAGTTAGTACTATGAGATAGGGTGAATTTTTCTTTCGGCCGTTGTATTAGTTCTATTAGCAAACGTCTAAAGTAGATTCAAAGAATTTTCAGCTATCTCACATCTGGTAATATAAAGATTGCCAGGAAAAGAGCTTCGATTGAACGTGAATGATATTAACAGCGGTAGGTCAAGCATTAGCAGAGACCAAAGTGCTTCGGACAATTGAGAACCTTCCAGTGTGATTCAATTTAATGCGTTCCTTTCCCGAGTCGATATAAATAAATGCTTCTCGGTCTGTATATCACGAACTGTTCTCACTTGTAACCTGGCACATCGACAGTTTTACACGCCAGCAAGTGAACGATTTCCGTTCATGTCGATATGGATTGGACGATGAAGCGATACGCAGATTACGGATAACGGACAGATGTTCTTCTGTCCACATACTTAATCTGACAGATTTACAAAAGAAAAGAGAAATTTCTCAGCTGACCCCAGTGTCAATCAACCCCTGAGAGGAGTTCACGATCTGAATTTGCCCGGGAAATAGAGTAGTCATTGTTCACCATTACCATCACTAGACTTGACAGCATCGAAAAGACACGTGATAACATTTTTAATGCCTGTCTGTTTTGTGATCGATTGATAACAAATCAAATCGATTTTATTTTGAACTGCTCCCCAATTCAAGTTTCAATCTAATAATTAACTGTGCCTTTTCAAAGATTTTTTTCTCATTTCTTCTCGTTCCCAAAATTTAAGTTGAAAGTATTTAAATAATATTAACTATCGACTAACCTTGTTCAATTCACGTTCCGTCGTTTTAAATTATAATTGATTAATTTAGTCAAGTTTTGGTAACAATTCACTGTTCGTTTTCGGTTTCACGTTATACATTTTCTGATGTCAACGAACACTCGTTGCCACTTTTGTAATGCCAACGAATACTCGTTATCACTTTTGTAATGCTCATTGTAGTAGAGACTTTGTAATCGCAGGTACAACTATAATACACCGTTGAATAATACTGGTACCAGACGCCTTCGAATATCACTCGTACTTATAGTACTTGCTCTATAATACTCGCTGGACACGTAAACCGTATAGTGATCTGAATAGAGAAATAGTATAGGGAATAGAATAAAGAATAGCGTTCCGTATAGTAATAGAGGATAGAGTAGAAATGGTGATCCGTGAAGCAATAGAGGATAGAATAGAAGAAGTACAGATCCTTTAGACGTCACACGACTTCCTATATATGCGTTTCCCCATGGTCACGTGATCCACTTAATTCAATAATGGGAAGGCCTGTGTTTGTTCTCTGGCGATCTATGTTCAAACTCAAATGTCGGCAGCGACACTTTATTCCTATATAACAATTCATGAAATGGAACGTTTATAATAAATCAATTTCTAGGTCTGCTGCTAGGAAAATTTGTTCACTATGTCGTGATAGACAATTTTATCGCCAGAATATATCATGCACATTTACCAGTTTACCGTTCGTCTGTGAATCGAATATTACATCCTGGTGTTTCTGCCAGAGATTCTTGACGAAATAAAAAAAAGAACAATCTGCAACATTATCAGTCCCGACATGGCATTTCGGTTTCAGTCACGTTCCCATTACCATAAAGTAACTTCCTTCTGCCTTTTGTTATATATATTTTCACTGTAATTGTTCTGATGAGCTTCACTCTTTGGTACCTAGGCGAATTTAATCGCAGTACTAGATTTCGTCATTTCTGTTTGCTGAAAGTAGCCCACGTCATGCTTCTTATTCAAGTAACGTTTCACCATGTTTGAAATACCACATGAGTACACACGCGTTTTGCATAAATCATCTTGAAACGTTACAATAGTTTAAGCTTCAATTTTTCCCGAGGGAAAACAAAAGTTTACGTAACTCTCTCTTCCTTTTAACAGGCACCGCGAAAATCATGAAACGGAAAATAAAGAAAAAATTAAAAATCATATACAAAAAGAAAAAAAAATCAATAAATACACACATACATATAAAAAGAAAAAAAAAGACAAAATAAATAACCACACACATGCACACATACATATAAAAAGAAAGAAAAAACACGAATCAAATTGGTCTTGAGAATCACACCACATTGCAGACTGGCTCAGAATATTGTACATTTGTGACATTCAGTGATGCAATAAACAACTACATTCCTGATCGTGCGCCACATTCGAGTCCCCATAATTTTGGCGTCCTTTCGTATATATTGAATTAAGCATACTGCTGGTAGTCTGGCGTGATTGGTCGACTACAAACAAAGAGAAAGTTTCTTAGCGTATGAGTGGATATAAAGGAGTATTTGTGTAACACATTAATAGACTTAAATGAAAAAGAATAATCTGTATATGTTTGTGTATGCGGAATAGTTAATAGATATTTGAACTGTAGCTGTGACTTCTTAATGATCGATTTCGAAACGGACAGATTATTGTGAATATTTTTCTTAGCCACTTGGCAAATATGGGCAGAGCTCAAATTTGCCAATGTTTGCATTTCAAATGCCTACCTTGGTTTCTGCTTAGCACAAAGCACGCTAATATTTGCTCAAGAGACTAACGTAGACAAACACAAGCAAGCAGAGCTCATTAGTAAAATTGATGTTCAATAGATTGATTTGAAGAGTCCGCTAAAGCCTGATTAGTCTCATTCTGGCCTCTGTTTGGTTCATTAGTCTTATGTTCAATGCAGCCAGTCTAAGCATTCATTCGCTTCCAAAGTTTCCTTTTAATGTTTCCGCAAATAAGTAGCATTATCACGTAGATATCTGTATTATTTGCAGCTGAATTAAAGTCTAAATGACAGATATTTTCCATTCGTGTTTTTGCCAATAAATCAAGTTGTTTTATAGGAGGGCTAATGGCTGTCGATTGTTAGATAGTTAAAACTGTCAGACAGAAAATGGCTCATTGAATGTCTCGATACCTTAATTGCAAGAGAGTCTTATATTGTTAGAAACAGTAAAATGAAATTTAGATGCCAGTTCCTCTGGACATCGACGTACGCAATTATAGATAAAAATACAGATTCAGAGTCAGATTCCGGACGATTTTGCAATATGTCTAATTCGGTCAAATACTCCTTTATTTCGTTTTAACAATAATAATAATAATAATAATAATAATAATATATATATATATATATATATCTATATATACGCACAAACACACGTCTCTATATATATGTATAAAAACTAAAAGACTATACTACACTATAGACTATACTACAAACTAGAAATTATATATATATATATATATATATATATATATATATATATATATATATATGTGTGTGTGTGTGTGTGTGTGTGTGTGTGTGTGTGTGTGTGTGTGTGTATAAAATAAAAGATAACATACAAATACACCCTTCCCAACATGCAATAGAACTGTCAGAATGACCAAGTAGGAATTCTGAGTCTCAGGAATCTTCTAGCCTCTATTTTAAAAACAATTTAAAAGAGTCCGTTTAACTAGTAATAACGATAAAAAACAAATGAAAACTACAGATAAAGTTCACTTTCTTCAGAGGGTCATTTACTCCTATAGTTCACTACTAATAAGCAAGGATTTTTTCTCCTGGTGATGGTCAGTCTGGCCGAACCTAGTCGAGGAATCTAAATAAAATAATCAAACCCCAAAATATTAATATACAACCCAGTATTTCTGAAAATTTTAATTTTTAGTATTTTTTATTGTTCAAAACATATTTATATATATCTATATCTCTCTATCTATATCTCTCTATCTATATCTATCTATCTATCTATCTATCTATCTATCTATCTATCTATCTATATCTATATATCTATATATATATATCTACATCTATCTATCTATCTATCTATCTATCTATCTATCTATCTATCTATCTATATATATATATATATATATAATTATTTATTTAAAAATATGATTCCAACTCGCGACATAAGAGGTCTCATGTTTCAAAACAAGAGCCGAAAACTTCAATATAATTATTTGAATTAAATTGAATTAAATAAGCTCTGTTCCATCTTCAAGCGAAATATTTTTTTGGAATAACTTATTTCTGAAATTTACGTGTTTTAATAGTATATTCATAATTGAAATCAAAATTTCCATGGTAACAGCCAGGGCGGATTTTTTAAATAAGGTAGGGGGGTGTTGGAATTTTTAATAATACGTATCAGTATAAAGTTACTTTCATAGATGTCAAGTCAGGGTAAGGTGGGGGTGTCTAAATTTGAAACGAAAGATGTTTTTGCCTAATCTGGTTTACGTGTCTGGTTTAAGCTCTACTTTTGTATCGAGCACTATTTTTTAAAAATAATAACAAAATACTAAGGAAGTTTGGATTACTAACCAGTTCTTTGCTATTTCCTATATATTTTCACACACACACACACACACACACATATATATATATATATATGGGGGGGCAATTGAATGACAAAATGGAAAAATTAAGTATAACACGATTCGTTCTATGGAAGGACATAATCGGACAAAAGGCTTCTACTTCTGTGCACCATGTCCGTTCAGAACATTGGCGATCATGGCGCTTCACAATTTCTAGTCCGTCGTAGTTCTTAATAATGTTGTCTTTGTACTATTTCTCCTAAACCCTGTTATGTCAACCATTTATAAAGCACGTTATGTAGATTATGCGCTGTTTTCCTCTGCCCTTCTTACCTTTAATATGTCTTGTCTCCTTTTCTCATTATATGCCCTGAAAATTTCAACAGTCTCTTTCTGATAGTATTTATAAATGTCTTTTTTGCTTCCATTAACTCCAAAACTTCATTGTTTCTCACATGTTAAGTGTATTCTTAATATCCATCTGCAGAACCACATTTGTGAGAAGATTGTCCATCATTCGCTGTCATATAGGTGGTCTAATAATAAGTAACAGTTCAGTACTCATTTCTTTGTTTCTAACGAAATTTTTTTGTTTCTTAATATTTTGTTTAGCTTTTGAAAAGCATTTTCGCTATCCCAATGCGACTTCTTATTTCGGCTCGGATTGAGGAATCGGAGAGCCGAGTTCGAATTCTAGTCGAATCCATTACATTCACTTACGTGCTAATACCCTTGGGAAAGCTATGAATCCACTTCTTCCCTCCCCTAGTTATGGGTTAATAGCAGGATAGACTTGGTTCTATAGCCTTGGATGGCAACTGGTCTACCATAGAAAGTAATGGCAACCTACCCCGGAAAAAAAAATCTGCCTCGACAATCATGTATCGAAAGATACATGATCGCCTAAGCGTATATCACGCATGGCACATAACTACCTAATTTCTGATTTCAGTGTCACCCTATCTGTTCCTCGCTAAAAAAAAACTTCCCATATATTAAAATTGTTGTAGTTGATTTTGGTATTGCCAATTTTTAATTTGCATGTTGGGCTGTTACATTTGCTGACAACCATATATCACGTCTTCTTGCAATTAATGTTTAGACATTTCGTGTTGCTTTTCTTCACAACTTTCTGTAGTAGTTCTTATGTTTTTATTGATGATATTATATATGTGCATAAGGGAGAAGATAGAGATGCGATGGTAGCGTACAATAATGTACTGAAAATGTGGGAACGTTGAAATATATATATATATTTTAATTTTTGAGTTTAAATTCTTTTCTTCAAACGTGTCTGGACATGTAGCCTCATTCAGTTTCCCTAGGATTTGTAGTTGTTTTTATCGTTTTTTATGTTTCTATACATTGCTTAACATTATTCTGATATATCGAAATGTATATATCATATGTATATGTGTGTGTGTGTGTGTGTGTGTGATATAAATATATATGTGTGTGTGTATTTAAATTTAATATACGCACTTTTTGTTTAGAGCTCACGCTATGTGTATTCCTCTCTTTGTTGCATGAAAATTGTGTGAGGGTATGAAACTGACTAGAGTGGATGGGTACTAATGTAGAAACATTTGTCATCTTATATATATATATATATATATATATATATATATGAAGAAAAACTTTGGAAAAAACAAACAAAAATCCTTAAATGCAATTATGTTGTTTAAAATGAATGAAATGTCGACGTCTGACGTTTCGGTTTAATAAACCTTTTTCAAGACAATATTCATTACAATTCAGTTCAATTTAACAAAGACGATGGACATAAAAACAAGTCTTATCCAAAACAGATAACAGATTTTTTTTTTTTTCTTCTTCATTCTGTCGGATTTATATCCATTTACATTTGCTTACATATATATATATATATATATATATATATATATGTGTGTGTGTGTGTGTGTGTGTGTGTGTGTGTGTGTGTGTGTGTGTGTGTGTGTGTGTGTTTGTGAGAATATATATATTTGCTCAGTAACCTTTCCTTTATAAATGTTTCACTGAATGGGACAGACAAGGAAAATCCTATAATCTTTTTTATCAAGTTCAGCTAATCTTACAATTTCCATTTGGGGTGGACGAAAAGAGTTCTGATACGGACCGTAATGATTATTGTTTCAAGCATTAGTGTAGTATATCAATTCTGATGCCAAGTAAATAAGTGAGTTTCTTGCCATAAACCGATCATCAACATTGGGTATACAACGACAACCATCAGTTGAAGAATGACAAACCACTTAAGTGATATGAGTGCTGTAAAAATAAATAAATAAATAAAACTTTCTAAAACAGAAACTGTATTCTGAAACTGGAACGAGAGGGGTGATTGTACTTACCATGGATCCATCATAAACATTCATAAGGTGAAAATTAATAAATTATAAACATTTCAAATACTTCGATGTATGGATTAGTTATAAAAAAATTAGGATAAAGAATAAAAAAACTGAACACAGGATAAGTTGCCGTAATGGAATGTCTTTCCAACGCAGTAAGTTCGTACAAAGCCAAAATAAGAACCAGGGTCTTAACAGATCAAGACTCATGTAGATGCCATGCATAAATCTAACTCGTTTAGAAATATCTAAACTGTAGACTATATAGAATTCTTTTATTACATCTGTGATAAAAAATGATTTCATGTGAAAGAATTCTCTAAGATAATCCTACAACAGACCCTAGAAACTTGCATTATAGTATCACAAACAAATCACTTTACTAAATCACACAAACAAAACACACCACTTGAAGCCACCCAATAGCACTAATAACAAAAACTAGAATGGAAAATGATATAATCAAGAATTTCACTTTTGACACCAAAACAAACAAAACATTAAGTAGGAAAAACCTATCAATAATAGAAAAAGTGATAACAGTTTTAGGAGAAAACTCTTATAAATTTCATCAGAGCGTAACGCTAACTGTTCGATAAATGACGAATGTTTCTTTTATGGAAACGGCCAATCTCACTATCATCTAAATAAATAAACGACAAATTCTGTCTGTACGTCCGTGTATGTGAAACCGCCTCTAACTCGGGCAACACTTGCGTTACATATACATATCAGTCCTTCTTGAAATCTGTTGATCGGACGCATTGGGATTTGTATCTGGATGAGGAGGGAACTTAAAAATTCAAATTTTAAAATAATTGAAAAAAGAAATAGTGATTTTAAAAAATTTAATTTATATTGTGTTTAAAGTAACACAAAAACTTTGTGAGTTTAAATTTTTTTTGATTTATATTCAGTTTAAAATATCCCCAAAACTTTGTGAATTGAGGAAATCAGTTTTATTCCTTGAAAATGTCAAAGAATTGAGAGGTTTCATGACGAAGGATTTTGAAGTTTCATAAGTTTGTGATTTAAAGAACTCAATTCAATTGAAGTTCCACGGAATTTGTGATTCGAAGAACTTAATTTTTGACCTGAACTGGAATTTCGGCCCAAATCAGAGTTCCGGTCCAAATTAGTCTTTTGTCTGGAATTGGAATTATGGCCCGAATCAGAGTTAATGTAAGGTTTGGAAGTTCCATGGAGTAAATTAAAGAATTCAAAGTTATCTTTTCAAAAAGATTATTGCTGTTTTTTAAACTGAACCAGAGGTCCCTTTAGTTTTTGGGAGGAGATACAAGTACCCCCCCCCCTCAGTATCTAGCTTAAAAGCCTACACGGAATGCGTGTTTTAAGCTAGTTATATATATATATATATATATGTACTTTCTCAATACATACATACACACACACACACATATATATATATATATATATATATATATATATATATATATATATATAATTATTATTTATAAAAAAAAATTATAACATAAGTATGCTATAAAAATCACTACAAAATAGCCATTTTGTTTCAACACCCTCGGTGTCTTATCAAGTGATGATGTTGAAGATAAAATAAATGGTTTTAAAAGTTTCAGATTAATTAACTACACTAGGGGGAAACATTGTTACAAAAGCTAGAATAACCAATCAAAAACCAAGTATAGAAAGATTTAAAAGCTTGACAACGAAATCATATTATAATAACTATTCAGATCTTTAAAATACGGGTTATATTAAAAATAATTTATACTAACCAATATTTATAAAATTATATGATAAAATTTAATATTAAAATTAAAAACTGGCAATTTTAAAATCCAAATTCAATCACTATAATCTTTCTACCTTCCGAGGGTGTTGAAACAAAATGGCTATTTTTATAGTGATTTTATAGCATACTTATGTTATAATTTTTTTATAAATAATAATTATATCTACTCTACTTTGTATTGAGCACTCTTTTAAGAATAGTAATTGTTGCTTATTGGAATTCATTCCGTATATACCAATTATATACTTGGGTATATATATATATATATATACTTTCTCAATATATATATATATATATATATATATATATTTTCTCAATATATATATATATATATATATATATATATATATATATATATATATATATATATATATATGCGTGTGTGTGTGTGTATTTAAAATTAATATTCGCACTTGTGTGAATCCCTTTCTTATGTGATTGAGAAAGTATATAGTTTTCCATTGTAGTGAATGTAATTATTGCAATATGTTTTATAGCTTTGCAGATGATATTTCATTTCAGTCATTTTACTTCCTATTTCGCATTTTCAAGTAACATCCATCTGAAACAGAAACTTACTTTATTTTATTCAAAATAAGGAGAAACAATAACCTTTCATCAGGGACGCAACGGACAGGATTGTACGAGATCATCTACGGGATTTACAATTCAGTCATTTGCAACTACAACCTCCTGAGTATCGAGAATGAGTGACAAAGCCAGTAACAGATTGAGTTAATGTTGTACTGATAAATCTTAAGCTCAAACAGGATGCGCTATCCTTGAAAAGCATTCGAAAGTAACATACATTAATTACAAAATCTCTCATCAGACTACAGGGTAGTCTGAAACTCTTGTCACCCTAACCCTCTCTTCGAAACTGTAGGAGCTCGTGTCAGCCATCTGAAATAGAAAATTATATTATATTTTAATGGCAAAACTTTTGGACCACTGTATGTTGATAATCACTAACATCGATACAATACACTTGTTCCTTCATTGGATAAAAAGTTCTTCAAATTTTCAGTGTAGTTAACATGGTGATTTGCTAAGCGTTGCTTAGATGTGGCACCAGGCCGTAAGTATGGAGCACCCAGTAAGGATTGAACTCACTACTCAGTCGTAATTGTCCTAGCAAGACAAGCTTGCTAACCATTACACCACACCGAGGTGCCCCAGAGGAGTTAACATAACTGTTTGTTTGGGGTGAGGTTTGGACATATAATGAAATTGTAATTAAGAGTATAAATAAAATTAATCTTATAGTACCGTTTGGTCTAGTCACTCGCGAATGTTTTGATCAGAGGACGGAGAATTGGCTATTTTTAGCGAGAGTGAGTAAGCAGTTTTTTTCCGATTTTTCATGTAAGCCAGATGGAATGAGAATTGCCTCATCTCAAATAGTGAAAATAACACAAAATTTATTTGTTTTTCTGAAGTTTTCATTCCAATTAATTACTTTTTAATAGTTCAATATCTCACCTTTATATTGGGTAATTTGAAAGTAATAATGTAATTCACCGCTATGAATTATGAATCAACCAACAAAAACGTATTTGAAAGATAGGAAATTACATGTAGAATTAATCTATCAAAGTGTATCGTTTAAAGTGCATTTCAGAGTTTAATTGGGAAAACTTTCAAGAAAGAAATTTGGGTCCTCATGAGCTTTCATTAAAAAACAGAACACAACTGCCATCATCTGCTGCAGTTTTTAATTAAGAATGATATACTTTCATTTTTAAATTGCATTGTTAGAGGTGATGAAAAAGGGTTTTTAGAAAACTAAAAATGATTGGTTATTACAAAATGAGAAGCCGGGGTCAACACCAAAATGAGTAGAAAAGTTGTTGTCCATTATAATCTCATGGAATATAGAAGGACCATAACAGTCGGCATTTATTAGACGAAATATTATGTTGAAAGTGTCCCTTGTTCGTAAACAGAAATAGGGTTATTCTTCAGCTTTCCAATGCAAGGGAACGCATGCAAAATAAACGCCAAAAATAAAGTCGTTAGGATGGGAGCTTCTTCTATATCATCCATACTAACCAGATTCATCAGCTACAGATTTAACCTTTGTTTCAAGCACTAGAACATTTTATAAATGGCAGTACATTTAGAAACAAAGAAGCTGAAAACGATCTTTCAATGTTTTTTTGTTGCAAAACCCAGGCTTTTCCGTGAAGGTGAAATCGAAAATTTGCATTCTCGTTGAGCTGCAGTCGTTAAAAATTAAAGTGATAAAATATTTGATGACCAATATTTAAATAAACTTAACTTTTTGTATTTTTCTCTAATAAAACACAATTACTTTTCAAACACCATAAAATTAAATGGTATAGAAACAGAGTATGAGGCTTACTTTTTATATGCCCGCTGTTAAATGACACTGAAAAAAACCCGGGTTTAACTTCGATTAAGCAGCATCGGTACTTTGAAAGGAGGACCTTCAAACTTAAAAAAAAGAACAATCGTTTCGTCACCTAGATAACTTCAACACCTCTTCATGAAACATGAACTTATTATCTCTATTATAATTTTATTTGTTCTTCCTTTCTTTAGTTAGTTCGTGAGACCGTCACACTCTGTCAGTATCTCACAGTGAACTATTCTGTTTTGCCCGGAGATGAAACACGAAACTATGTTAGAGACGCTACTTCGTTTCAGTGTGAAAATGAGAGAAAGAAAGAAGGGAAGATAGAAGTATTTAACGTCTGTTTCAGTGAAATAGAAAAAGTTGGATATTTCAAATCTTTTTATTAGTACACCCTTATAAATAAATTTATTAATAAAATGTTTTCAAGGCAGGTTTTCGAAAAATAATAATAATAATGATAATAATAATAATAATAATAATAATTATTATTATTATTATTATTATTATTCTATTATAACTGTATTATAACTTTTTTCCTTCCTTCATTAGTTCGCACGACCATTACTCCCTGCCAATACCTCATAAATAATGGATTATTCCGTTTTGATCGTGTGGAAAGAAGAAAAAAGACACTACTTAATTTCAGTGAGAAAATGAATGAAAGAAAGAAAGAAGGAAGGGTAATGGAAGTGGAGAGAAACAATCAGGTTAAGCTGATAAGAACAGATACTATACTTTAATCTTAGCTAAAATGCCTCGAAGCAATGGCGACTGCGATAAACACACCATTTTTCAAACTTCTCAGTATGGAACGACAGATGGCGAGCAATGTAATCGCCAAAAAATCCAGTTACCATAAATAAAATAACACCGTCTGCTGAATTATTTTTAAAATTATTATTAAGAGAAATGTTCGTAAGACAGCAATTTGGTTAGTTATCATTATACAGTTTTCACACAAGAAGATATAATATCTACCTTGAATTGATAACAAGTTCGTTCACTACCCAGAACCCTTCTAAGCATACTAGTTGTTTTAATAATGCTATCATCTGGGTGCATCCGATTCTTGCCCTGATTTCTAGCTTTAGTCTTTTTCTCGCCCCTTCAGGACCGTTCCCAGAGTTTCGCTAACTGGTACTGATTAAGGTGTTGAAAAGGAAACACGAAGATTTATTTGATAGACTTAGAATTAAACTAGTTAAAATAACATCTAAATCCCAAATTAAAGAAAGAATCATTTTAACCAAATAAATCTCAGATGTATTTCTGTAACATATAGCCATTATAAATATAACCAATTCCATATCTCCTCTCTGAGTAAACATGCTCCCTCGTTATGCGTGTATCAGGGACATGCATTCTGGGATTATAGTCATGATCTCTATGATAACTTAAGATCAACAATTTTGTTGTTTGTTATTGTATTTTGACATAAAAAAGTTTTTTGTACAGTTGGGAACGAATACTTATAACTTAATACAGCGCAGCCAACGCAATAATTTACTGCATAGACCTGATATCTATCTATCTATCTATCTATCTATCTATCTATCTATCTATCTATCTATCTATCTATCTATCTAAGAATGACAGAATGGAAAAAGCTTTAGTGTGACGCGTTTTGTCATTTAGGATTTCGTCTGACTAAATTTATGTTTACATTGATGAGACTAAACATGCACACAAAGGAAAGAGACGCTGACAATTTTGAATTTAGGTTTTTAAAAGTTTTGAGTATACAATCTAAAAATGGTGAAAACTTGTAAGAAACGGAACGTAAATTTACTGTTGATGATCTAACGATTAAATCACTTTCTAAACATTTTCTTCAGGGTAAACTGTTTTCTCTTTTAATTAGTCAAAATTGTGATTATTCTCAGTACGGTGATCAACCAAATTATTTGATGTTTTGTTTTGTAAAGACCCCCCCTTTGTGTCTATACTTCTTACCCGTAAAATTGTTTTCGATAGATAAACACACACACACACACACACACACATATATATATATACATATGTGTATATGTATATATATATATATATATATATATATATATATATATATATATATATATATATATATATATACATTTAGGGTAGGTCGATTTTGGAACTGTAAAAAGAATAACTCGAGGAAAGTTGCAAAATAACGTCAAAAATTACCACCAAAAATATTTTTTTCTTCAAAACTTCTTATTTATTTGAGCAATCGAACTTAACGACAAAATAAATTGCGAATTTTATCATAATAACGGTGTCACCGGAGACATGTGTATGTTAAATTAAAACCGAGTCTTAACGAAAAGAAAAAAAGAAAATAACGCTTAATAATGGATATTTTTCAGTTTATTATCTATTCTCTTATTAAATTAAATTAAATTACTACAAATAAAAAATAAAACGCACTAAAATATTTAGTTTAAAATACAAATAACTACTCGTGAACGACGTCGTTTTTACTGGATATTTTTTTCGGTATTTACCGGTAGTAATTACCTCCTCTTCTGAGTTCGTTTTATTTTTGTTTACGCTTTTAACTAGCGCAAATATCTATTTTATTTTTCATCAAAATATACTTAACTATTTAAAAAAATACAACTTTTATAATTATTGTAATTTGTTTATATTTTGAAAATTAATGTTTTATTAAAAAGACTGTTTACAAGCTAATCCCGGAATTAACTAAATAAACATTACTTTTAATTTAATAATGCATTTTAAACTTTATTTTCCAATTTATTTTGAAAAATATTTTTGTATAATTTCTGATAATACATATATTTTCTTTGTCAGATATTTTTTAAAAAAATGGCAGGAAAAACATCCCAAAGGGCCTAGCATACCATGAAATTTTGATAAGGCTATATAGCAGCTAGCCTTATCAAAATTCCACGGTATGCTGTTGAGTTGATCAGGGGTGATATATCTTACAATCTTGGAGCCAGTCTTGCCAATGCATTGCTCTTGGATTTGAGGGCTATAAAGATATTTATATAGATAAATGTAAAATTGATAGAGCAAAGGTTTAAAGTGAAAACAAATGCCCATCAACAGCATGATGAAAAGGTGGAAATTTTTTGTATTGGAGTTGATGGGAGAACTGACAAAGACACAATAATGTACAAGGAAATAGTGGAGGAAGATAGAGAGAAGACTGAAAAAAAGACCAAGAGACCAGAACGCCACTTGACTGTCACAAAGATTACATATGAAAGTGAATATCTGACACCAAGGCTTTTCCTAATATTGGTGCAATTGTTGTGGTTCTTGCCGAGCAAGTGGCTGATGTTTTGCATGAATTCAACAGTGTGAGCACTATCAAGGCTATCCTTGTTGACAAACACTAATGTCAATTCAGGGTGTGAAGGTGGATTTGCTGCAGCTCTAGGAAGAAAACTTAACAGAAATCTTCATATTATTGGTTGCTCCTTGCACCAAAATAAACTTCCGTTTAGAGCTCTTTTTAAACATGTAGATTGTACCACAAAAAAAGCCCTGCCACATTCAATGGTCCACTTGGAAGATTACGTGCAAATGATTACCATAATTTACCCCAAATATCATTTTCAGCCGTTGGCAGTCCTCTGGATTCTATTTTTAAAATTGAAAATGCAGACACCCTTAGTTGTGACCAAAGACTCCTTTATGAATATACAGTGGGTATTTGTAGAGGTAAGATGGACTCTAGATTTGCATCATGGAAAATTGGTCCATTAAACCAGGCAAGGTGGTTAACTTTAGGCATCAGTCTGATGTGTTTATAGACTCATGGTGCATACCCACGAAATATTTCAACCAAACTCCACAGTTTAATAAATTTTATTGTGAATGTGTATGCCATTTGCCGGTTCAAAAATAAAAGAAATAACAAGTTCCACAATCAGCAAATGTATATTTTCAATATGATCCAAAGGATTAGGAAACAACCATATGAAATCCAACAGATCACATTGATAAATATAAAATATAATGCTTTCGCCTTACTGCCTGAAAATATCTTATATTCAATGGTCAAATCTGATGAACTGGAAGTGAGGGAAGAAGCTATAAAAAGGATTTGGCCATTAGGTTAGTAAATATTAATTCATATAAAATTGATTAAATTAGTTATACCGATTTATGGAATCATTTGAAGGATTTTATCTAATTTCAACATAAATATTAAAGCAGTACAGAGTGCAATTTAAAAAAAAAAATAAATCAAATTAATTTTTATATTCTTTCAAGAGTGGGGAGCAAACCAAGAAAAAATTAAAAAGAATCACAACTATCAAATTTAAAGCTATGCACTGGAGACAGTTAAAAGATCTGTCATTAAGTGGAGTTTGTGAACCACCACTCACAGAAAATTTTCTGAAAATGAACTTTGGGAATAATTATTAAATGGTACGAAACTTGACTTGCCAGATTTGCCCTCACATTCTCAAGGCATGAAACGGGCAGTCAAGTTAACAACAGAAGCTTCCCAATCTGTGTATGGCTTTGAAGCAAGGCAAAAGCACATAATATCAAAAGCTTTGTGTCAGAAATTGAGACCATCAATTTCATCTGACGGTTCTTATATGGAGCTATTTGACTCTGTATATTAAGCCCTATTAAACTATTCTTTATTTTTTCATATTTGTTTGTTGTATTTTCATTCAAAATAGAAAAAATCAATTTTTTAATGAATTCAACTAATACTGCTTAATTCATGAGGTAAAAAACAGCATTTCAAAATCGTCAGTGATAATGGGGGGGGGTAATTTTCAGTTTGAAGTTTACTTATAATTTCTACATTTTATTTCATTTTGATAAAACAAAATAACAACATTCCCTGATTTAAATAGTGAAATTGTTTGTTTTTTTAACAATATTTAGTCCAAATCTTGCAAAATCGTGGATTTTTCAGTGCATGCCAAATGCTCAAAAAACCGTTGAAGTGACAAATCTAATTTTTTGTATCAGTACTTAATTGGTCTATACACAACTTTCGGTACATTATTCTTTTTGATATTTTAAAAAAAAGTCAAAATCGACCTACCTAATATATATATATATATATATATATATATATATATATATATATATATATATATATATATATATCATTCGATTCTTGACTGAGGAAACGACATGTCTCAGCTGCATTTGAGCCACACTAGTAGTAATGTCGGACTGCAGCAAGTCGTTGTTTCTGATTCAGTCTAAAAGCCATGTTCCAGAAGACTCAAACACCAAACTGCAATAATACAATAAAATAAATACAAGGCGAAACTTTTGCGACACCCTGTATAAATATCTATATCTATATCTATATATCTATATATATATATATATAGATATCTATCTATCTATCTATCTATCTATCTATCTATCTATCTATCTATCTATCTATTATCATCCACAGAGAGGCTGTTTCATGTATCACAACTCATCAGTATAGCTAGACATCCGATTACCTCAAGCCAGTATCGAAATTCGCCTGTTTAAGCATCATTCGGAGATTTTTCCTTAAGCTCTCTGCTCTCGTCAGAGAGGAAGGTGAAGTTTTATGCATTTATTTTGAATAAACACGCCAGTGACTCAGAGTGCTCGTTTCATAGAAGAGCTTTCCATTATCAGCAGTAGCAATCACTGTTTCTCTCTAAAGTGTTCGAACGAAATTTATCTTTTTCAGGGTCGTCTCTCTCTCTCTCTCTATATATATATATATATATATATACATTGTCATCCATCCACAGGTTTTATATATATATATATATATATAATATATATATATATATGTATGTATATATAAGTGGACATTGAAGTCAACACTTAGAGACAACAGTTTGTTTTCATGCTAGGCGCAATCGTCAGGCCACGAGTACTGTTTTTCTTCGGTTATTTATATATATAGATATATAAATAGCCGAGGAAAAAAACAGACGATATATATATATATATATATATATATATATATATATATATATATATATATATATATATATCTGTACGTCTATTGTAAACATTATTACAAAAACTGTAAATGCATGTTTCTTACTGATTCTCAATTTTAATTACAGAAAAGATATTTGAAAATTTTTTGTTTAAGTATCGGTAGATGATTGACAGTATATTTTATCCCGAATACAAACTGTCATATATCAATGCATTATTCTTCATTTTGTTGATGGATAGTATCAAGTAACACAAATGTTTAGTACATTCTTTATGCTTATTTCTCCAACATGAATGGCAATATCAAATGTTTTTATATGAAATTATCCACGAGAAACATACTTTCAGTATTTTATCTTTAACGAATGAATACATATTTTTAATCATTTTTATCTCTAGTAAGATAATGAAGCCACTAAGACGCAAGGTTTACTGAATTTGAAAGAATATGAAAAAAAGAAATACGTTATTAAAGAAAGAGATCAATAAAGGTCCAGGAATTAAGAATACAGAATAGAGCGATTGACATTGCATATAAATTATTAAAGATCAAAGTTGACTTGCAAAGCAAGAAGTCATCAGATACTTCCACAAATTTGAACTACGAAAGAAAAAAGTATTAGCATAGAATTTACGGTTTCATGAAGTCATTTCATTTGTAAAATGATGAGACCTTGCTGCCAATCTAGTACTGCGCTAGAAATTCATAAAGTCTAACTACCAAAGAGGAAAGCTCATCAGAACAGATACCATGAAAATACTTATAGAAAGGCACGTTGAAGCTAGGTTACAGCGGTGGGAACTTGACTGAAGCCATAATGCCAGGCTGGGACCAATAACATTGCAGATTTTTCTTTGTATTTTATCAAGAATCTCTAAATACATAGCGGATGTACCGGGCCATATCTCACTGTAATATTCAATGCATTGATAAATGGTCAATTTATGAATGTATATGATAAATATTGGCGGAAAAAATTGTCTAGCACGATACAGTGAATCAACATTCCTCGCACCGAACTTATAATCTTACCATTTCATGTCAGTGGAAAACGCCAAATCGAGAAAGCACAATGAGTTACTCTCCGGGAGTTTAACATCAGTCATGCTAATAGAAGGCAAAAATGTTCCTTCAGATGATTAAATTCAGTTAGACGGGTGACGCTGATTGAAATAGCCACAAGAAAATATTGTATATTTTGTATGATATATATGAGATATATTTTGTACCATACACATCATCTAATTTATTTAAAAACTGTTCATTTGTATTTTGCAGGTGACACAAAACCTGAAGTTTGTCTCACGCCTGGATGTGCCGTAGCATGTAAGTAGTTGAATTCAATTATTTACTTTTAAACACACACACACACACACACACACACACACACACACACACACACACACACACACACACACACACACACACACACACACACACACACACACACACACACACACACATATTGTTGCGTTCAGTGACGCTCTTGGGCCCCCACGCTACTGCATAAAATGGTATTAAGGGCGTTTTTTTTTTCATATTCGTTTTTAGTAGAAGAGACGGTTAGACGTGGCAGCTTGGATTCTAACAAGAATCGGGAGGAATGACAACAGGGGAACGCATGTCGCTTGTTGGCCTAGCGCCCTCCCGTGTGTGGTCTTAGCCCGTCTCTTGATCCTGGGTGTGGGAAACATATTGACGCTTCAAAATTCTTGCGCCGTTCTTGACTTATATTCAAAACCCAGACAAAGGCAATCCATCACTGTCGGAATACCATGCCAGCGAGGTATTCTGGCCAATCGTTGACCATTTTGGCCGTGACTTCTGCATTCTATTACAATATATATATTAATAATAAATATACATTTTTCCTCAACGGTAGGGAATCTCTGAGTTTCATGCACAACCCAATCGTTAGGTGCTGATTGAAAGAGTTTTCAATTCAGAGTTGTGTTACTGGTGAGGAAAAAAATGTATATTTATTATTAATATAAATTGTACCTCTGTTATTATTCTCTAAGCACTATTTTCTTAGCAGCAACACTCTATGTACGATATTACACACGCACATACACACACACACGCGCACACACACACACACATATATATGCATTGTTTGAAAATGATTATTCAACCATTTATTAACATATTATCAGCCTTCCTATGGCAATGTCGTCTTAATCACCATCCAACTACACTCCTTGTAACAGCACGCAGTTATCTCAGCATTATCTTAGACTTTCAATACTCTGAACAATTTTATCTTTCAGAAATGCCATCAAGTGACATTGCTCCTTTTCAGGGTTTGAATTCTATTCGTTTTTTCAACGGTCATTTTAACTTTGGAAAAAGCCAGAAATGGGCTTATATATATATATATATATATATATATACGACAATTTAGGAAAATCTATGACAAACTGTAAAATTATTTTCGTGTGACACATTTCGTCAATTTCGGCTTCATTCATGCACTTGTTTAATCTTATCAACTTTAGTCTGATGGGGTCTTAAAGGATGAAATGCATCGCACAAAAAATCTTTTACACGTTGTCATAGATCTTTCTATATATATATATATATATATATATATATATATATATATATATATATCAAATTCAAACGTTCACATCATCACTTTAAAAAGGCTCAATACAAGAGTAGAGCAATAAATGTTTATTAAAAACTGTTACATTAAAATATGCAAGTTACTACTACAAAATTGCATATTTTGTTTCGACGTTTAAAACACGTCTCGTCAGGTAGTTAACAATGACCATCATATATATATATATATATATATATATATATATATATATTTGTGTACATATATATATATGTATATATATTGCACATTTAAGCAGCATACATTGATTTGTTAAATTGTCTGTGTATGTGTATACGTATTTCTGTAAATTCATAAAATTTTTATTGTTCGTTTTACTACGTTTTAAAAAATGTTATGAATTTACAGAAATACGTCTATACGAAAAGTACTTGGTTAAAATATAAAAAATATTTTAATGAAAATTTTGTTATTTTTCTTAATCAATTTTCTATAGCTACCAAGAAACTGATTCGTGGACTCGAAATGATTAAAACAAAAATAAACATACATAGTGTGGCTAAAGAATTTAACCAAACCGGTTTGAATATATATATATATATATATATATATATATATATATATATATATATATATATATTTAAAAAAGATATTATAACATAAATATGTTATAAAATCACTAAAAAATAGCCATTTTGTTTCAACAACTCCGGTGTCTTATCAAGTGATGATGTTGGATGTAATTGTTGGTTATTGGAATTCATTCCGTATACACCAATTATATACTTGTATGTATATATATATATATATATATATATATATATATATATATATATATATATATATATATATATATATATATATATAAGTGTATGTTTATTGATCGATAGATTTGTTTTTTATGGCTTATCGTACTTTTGCAGGTTATTTAAAGCCAGAAAATAATTAGATTGTAAAAGTTTTGGGTAATAATAATTATTTTCCTATACAAGTTCTATTAATTAACCCATGACTGGGAGGAAAGAAGAGGTGGATTTATAACTTCCCCAAAGTTGTTTGCGCGTAAGTGAATATAACGAACCCAAATGGAATTGGAACTCAGCTCTCCGAGTTCCAATTCTTAGCCGTTATCTATTACACCACCCGAACATCCAAGCTTGCATCACCTGGTATTTCTGAGCGGTCAACCATCTAGATACTAACTTTGTTTAACTTCGGTGAGAGCCGGTGTTTGAACATAAGCCGCGGATGTGTCTGTGCTTATTGTTATTTTATTTCAGTAAAGTAACAATATATTCACGTAATTTATAAGGGAAATTCACTATCTTTAAAGGAAAGCGATATGTAACATTTATTTTGCATTTAAATACTGTTAAATCGCAAACAAGACGATACGTGACATACCTGTAAGATAAAAAGATAAAATGGACGTATGTGGTAAATATAAAGTTTTGTGCATGAAATCGTGCAGAAATTTGCGAGAAAACAAGAGCTTTTTTTTCTCTTCTTTTTCCAAAATGTGATAAACATAAAAATATAAAAAATAATTATGTTCTATTGACTCTACAGAAACGTGATATGTGCATAAAAATGTCGGCTGAACATCATCGTATGAATTGTTTGTTCCTGCCTGCACATTTTCCGTGTGGATATGATCGCACTGCGACTTCATAGATAATTACTCTATTAAATAACAATGAAACCTGCTGAAAAGGTTTTGTTATACTTGATATGTGTTATGCTTTTTGACTCAATTTTGTGAATTATAACAGAAATACATATATTTGTACATCATTATTTATAGTATTTTAATATTGCAATCTTATATATCTTTTCTCCGATTGGGGTAGTCTCAAGATTAGAGTATCGACATTAAAAGTCATATAATGTAATATACAGGGAGCAACAATGGTAAAGTCCTTTTTATTTATTAAATTTATTGAACAAAAATAAATTACAATAATTTAAGATGGCTTAGAATTAATCTTATCGTTTAAGCGTTTAAGCGGAAAGGTTAAATCTTAATTTAAAGTTGAGGTGGATAGGACGACGTAAAGAAATTGAGTGGCCATCACGATCACCAGACCGAACACCACCATAGCTTTTCTTGTGGGATGTACTGAAAGATTTTATTTACAGGCTGAAACTGAAAAGAATTCCTGAATTAAAATTCCGATAGATTTTCTGAAATTAATGTAGAAATGTGTTAAATGATTTTGATGAAGTGTTGCTGATAGGGTTCAGCATTGTATTGGACATGAAGGGGAGCATTTTGAATATGTTAAATAGTTTTTTGATCATAACAAATCATGTTTGTTATATCTCTGAGATGAGGTATTATGATTATTTAGATTATTCCGACTGTTATCCTCATCTTCCTTGCCATATCCACAACGCATCGGCCGTTGTCCACCCAGGCCTTCTTCAGGTGATTGAAATTTCGAACCGAACTCTTTATTTTCTAGTTTCACATACCATGCCTCTTCCGGATGTCTCAGTTATTTCCCTTTACCTCAACTCTCCAAGTATTTTGGTTCACTATTGCTGTAGCTTTGTGTTGAACTCACAACTCTACTCTAGTCACTGGATCTAACCAATACTTTTAAGGAATAAAGGGTTCAGTTCGAAATTCCAATCACCTGAAGAAGTCCGGAGCGTACAACGGCCGAAACGTTTTGAATATGGTAATGGATAACAGTCCGAATAATATAAATGATGTAAATAACAAATCATGTCGTTTTGATGTGACAATATTTATAAATTTTCTTAAATTACTGTAATTTATTTTTGTTGAGTAGAATTTAATAAATAAAAATGGCGTTACATTTGCCGCAACGTGTATTAATATAAAGGTTTAGTCAAATAATTTCAGTTTTGTTTATCAACAATTATTCTTAAAAAAATAAGTACAATTACATTTTATTCAATTTTGTATGCTAATACCATTTGGAAAGGTATGAATCCTCTTCTTCTCCCCCCACCCTATGGGTGAATAGCAGAACAGGCCTGGTTCTATAGTCTTGGATGGCAACTGGTCTACCGCAGAAAGAAATGGCAACCTAAAAAATCTGCCTCGTCAGTCATCTACCGAAAGATACATGATCACCCTAGCGTGTATCACGCATGGCACATAACTGACTGACAATTTTGTATTCGCCATTATTTGCAATAACTTATTGCCACAGGTTTCGATTAACTCTTCAATTTGGTTTCCATTAGAGCATATTTTTCACGTCAAAGCCTTTTTTCAGCGGTTGAAAAAGATAATAATGGATTTGTGGGTGTGGCTATATTCAGCTGGCCACCCGACTTCTGTTTTTCTGCATTATTCTTGCTGTTATGGAGGAAAACAACATTTTCCTTTCATCCACTGTACACTGCCACTGCCGTGCAAAACTAAAGTATGTTAGTCGACTCCACATTTGTACTTAACTGATTTATATGATTCATTGTTAAGACGATGCATTCGTCAATACAAATGGACCCACAAACCGGAAACTACTTGTGAAACAACTAGATATTTCATGACACTGAGATATTCCGTAAGCCTATTTAACGATACATATCGCTCTGTAGATTTTAAAGAGACAGATAAAATTTCCAGGAAAAAATGCATAGGAAATTTTATACTCAAAAAGTGTATCGTGAGGTCAGTGGGGTGACAGCAAGTAAACTATTTGACGATTTTGAGTGGTGGCTAATGAGCAAGGTTTATCTGAACAACAAAAGAAGTTGTGGAGATTTCACATTGAAGATAAAAGAATTCCCCCCAAATGTAAAGAATGGTGTTTTAAATATCCCACCATGACTTTTTGAAGAAAAAAAAAAAGAAACATATTCTTTGTCCCAATGAAAGTTTTTTTAAAGGTACATATGAGTACTAAATTTGCCGTCTTTCTTCTTCCATGTGCTATGTCCCTTCAAGACGTGGGAAATCATGGCTCTTCGCAACTTCCTGTCCTTTGTAGCTCTTAGTAAAGTTTATCTTTTTGGGAATAATCCTAATATCTGTTCTGCCAACCATTTACACAAAGCTCTTTAGGTAGGTTATGCGTTGTTTTTTTTGCCTTCAATATGTCACGTGAGTATTAAATTTTCCAAGCCGTCTTTCCTCATATACCCTAGAAATTTCAATTGTCTCTTTCTGGTGCTACATATGTACTATTTTTGTTTGTATTCTTAGCATCCTGCAGTAGAACCACATTTCTGTTCCTTAACAATATTATACGGTCTGAATTTTCAGTGTCAGTGTCAATATAAGATGCACAGATGATGCTGTGTTGATGAGAGACATAAAAGAAAGCAGCGGGAACTCCAAGAAAAAAGTAGTAAAAGAAAGCGTGAAGAAAGGACTAAGCATCAACTGTATAGTCGTTAGTAAGAAGGGCAGTCCTAGATTTGAGCTACAAATTAAAGACGCCGAGCAACTGAAGAAATGTGTCTGGGAAATGTTACAATGGATAGCGTAAAATGGGATATAAAAATCCAAAACAGAACAAAGTATTAAAATACACGAAAATTTAGAAACAAAGAAATGAGTGTAATGTAATATCAGCCTTCTTCGTATACAGTGGGCTATGATAAGTTTTGAGCCACCCTTAATTACAGCAATTTTGGCTTGTGTAATAACGTATCTTCTTTTTTCAGACAATACCGTGTTAATATCAAGCTACTCTAATCTATGAACAATAGTTAACTTATATTTTGCCATGAAAGTTCGCGGAAGCGAGGAAATTGGTGAATTTCAACGAGGGCAAATAATAGGATGGCATCAGTGCGGCAAGTCAAATAGAGAAATTGCTAGGTTTTTCCGGGTTAATCATCAAAAGGTTAATAATATTGTCAAGACATTTAATGAAGAAGGCCATTGTCGCGTGGAACAACGTTCAGGAAGACCAAGCATCGTGTCTGAGTGAACGAAAAGGGCGCTGAAGATGGAAGTCATCAGAAACCGTCGTCAGAGCGTCAAAGATGTCGTCAACAGCATGAAAATGTCGCCATATGCAGTGAGAAAGATTCTGAAAGAGCTTGGCTATCAAAGAAGAATTGCAAGAAAGAAGCCCTTGATTTCAGAGGTTAATAGGAACAGGTGTATGGACTGGACGAGAGAATTCGAGAGCAAAGATTATGAATTTTGGCAGTCTGTAATTTGGTCAGATGAAAGTAAATTCTGCCAGTATTCGAATTCGAGACAGGTTTATGTTTGGAGAAATCAGAATGAGACTTGGAACACTGAATGTCTGCAGGCAACCGTAAAACATGGAGGGATTGGAGTAATGGTGTGGGGCGCTGTCTGGTGTGGAGGGAAATCTGAGCTGATTCTTGTTGACGAGCGGTTGAATGGTCCAAAATAGTCAAATATTAGAGAAAGGACTACTTTCACTATTTGAAACGAATCAGACTGACAAAAATGCATATCTTTATCAAGAAAATGGAGCGCCATGTCATACGAGCAAAGTAGCAAAGGCCTGGAAATAATCGCAAGGAATCAAGTTACTGCCATGTGTAGTCTAAAGTCCTGACATGAATCCAATAAAGCACGTTTGGGAGCACTTTCACCGGAAACTTTGAGAGCGTGCAACCAAAATCACGTCAGTGGCAACCCTTAAAGAAACATTGCTAAAGGAGTGACAAATATGGATAAGACGATTGTTGTTAACTTGATCAAATCCATGAAAAATCGAATACAAGCACTGAAATTAGCAAATGGAGGACCTTACTCCATACTAGTTCCAAATACTGTTTATTTATGTTGAGTTGGGATTACGTAATTAAATTTTGAAACCGGATGTAGTTTATTTCTCCTGGCTAAAAACTTTTCTTAGACCACTGTATAACAGTGAATGCTGGACAATGATGAAGAGACTTGAGACAACAGAGAAGTGGTTCTACAGAAAGTTGCTGACAATACCATGGGTGGAACATATGAGCAACGGGAATATTTTAAGGAAAATGGAAACATTCTAGGACATATATTGAAGAAAGAGTGCTTAGAGAATTTAACACTCACAGGACATAGGCATAGATAAATAGCGAATAACATATCTAAGGAATTTGTGTAAATGTATGACATAACAGTGAATGGGAGAGGTAATTAAGGGATAAAGGATAGGAAGTTGTGGAGAGACACAATCGCTAAGCCTTGAAAAGACGCGATATAATAAAAAAGAATTTTGTTAAGAAAATTTAACACTGTCCTTTTGAGTGATACTTCGAATTTATTTTGAATAAAATAATCTAAATTAATTTATTTTTATTTATGTAATAATTTTATTTAGTTAATTATCTTATTTATTTAATTACTTGAATACAATAATCAAAAGTAATTTTGAATGCTTTTAGTAAAAATAAATTCCTATTTGTTTTTAGAGACATGGTTATTTGTAACATGATAAATTTTATAAGGAAAAAAATTCAGAAGCAACGTTCTATTTATAATAATTATAGTGGCTCCAAGAGTTATTTTTATGAGATGCTATAAAGAAAGACATGCAACAAAGTAACATTTGCACATGCGTAGACTCAGTGTTAATAATGATATCCGGTATTTTATATTATATAGTTTATGTTGTATATATAAAGACAATATTTTACTACTTCATATAAAGTCTTTATTATTTTCTTATGTCAGTAATTACTTGCAATCAGAGCTTCAGTTCTGCATCTTTTTATGATTTGTACAGTTAAAGGGAAATTTGTAACAACATTCTTTACTGGTTGAAGAAATTCTTTAATCTTGAGTGCAGAAGCTTATCTTCAATCAAACAATGCCAAAAGTGAAAACATTTAAAACGTTTTTTTCAACTCTAGTTAATTTTGAGTAATAGATTTGTTCCCGAGGGAAATGCTCAGTGTCACTAAAACAGCACCGATGCTTTGTTTAATTTTTTTCATTTACTTTTCACAGCGATTATCAAAAAAACATTATTAAATCCTTGAACATTTATTTATTAAAATATTCTCAGAATCGAATAATTCCGGGGGAAAAGAACCCAAAAGAAAAAAAACGAATAAAACCAAAAACAAACCCAAACAAAACAAAAAACAAAAATGCAACCAAACAAAATCCGCATTCATTTTGCCTCTGTGATTATTATTATTATTATTATTATTATTATTATTATTTCTTTTTAGCGTCTCGACTCATTCGATCGATTGATGAAGCGATCGATCCATGTGATGACTTTTTTGAGTATGCATGCGGTCGCTGGGTAAAGAGACATCCCATTCCCGATGATTTATCATCTATTGACACATTCACAGTACTTCGGGATGAAGTTGTAAACATCCTTAAAGGTAGGTATGATTAGTTTTCTTTAAGATTTTAAAAATTATTTGAGTAAATATCGCGAGAAAAAAGAAAAGAAAAGCATAACACTTCCCTCGAGACATAGGCGATCATGGTTATCCACAATTTCCATCCTTTGTCGCCATTAATTAATTGCGTCTTTTTATTTCTTCTAAACCTTTTCCCGCCATCCATTTACTTAAGCTTACTAAGTAGGTTATGCCTTGTTTTCTCTGTCTCTTTTACTTTTAATGTCCTGTGTGTATCAGATTTTCCAGGCCCTCTTTTCTCATTACGTGCCTTAGAAATTTCAACTGTCTCCTCCGAAGGTTAAGTATAATTTCTTTTTTGTTTCTATTTTCTCTAAAACTTCGTCGTTGCTCATATATTCAGTCCTTAGTATCATCAGCATTCTTCTGTATAACCCCATTTCTGTTGCTTCAAGTCTCTTCTTCATGTTTTTCTTGAGATTGTCCAGCATTCAATGCCATATAAGAGGGCAAATATCACGTAACATAAAGATTGTAAATTTAGGACGCTACAAGACCAAATATCTTCCATAGGTATAAAACCTACTGTGCCTTGAAATAAGCACTTATAATAATTTTTTTGGTTAGAAACAAAGAAAAGATCATTGAACTGATACTTAATATTAGTACTCCTATATGGCAGTGAATGATAGACAATCTCTTATAATATCTGTAGTTGAAAGCTTGAAATTACGTACAGAATATTTAGATTTCAACATTAAATAACCATGCCGCTAAACAAAATTAACAAACTAACAATCCTTATTTATGGTGTAATCACCAACAATAACTATTATAACAAAATTACCAACATTATATACTTAAAATGAAATAACCAACAACACATTTTATCTGTACTTGAAGGTCTGCAATTGCATACAAAATATATCATCTACAAACTATATATATATATATATATATATATATATATATATATATGAAAATACATTTAGCCAGAAAATATAAAATTATGTACGAAATATCTGGATTTGAAAGCATAAAATTGCGTTCAAAATATTTAGATTTCAGCATTAAATAACCTATAGAGGTTGATATGCTGCTAACAAAATTAACTAACTAACAATATCTATTTATAACAAAATTACCAACAATGCCAATTTATAGTAAAATTACGAACAATGCACCTTTAAAGCAATACAGTTTATGTGTAGTTGAAGGCATACAATTGTGTTCAAAATATATTTAGTTGAAGCCATAAAATATTTATATTTCGGTATTAAATAACCCATAGAGGTGTTGATATGCCGCTAAATAAAATCAACCAACCATCAAAGGTATTAGTCATTTTTGGAAATTGTATATATCTGTATATAATTTTAAGGAAAACTCTTTAATACAAATGTGATGAACGGTTTTACTTTCAGTGAAATTCTTGCTTTGAACATCTCTTGGGACTCAAGTTAATCGCAGATTTCAAGTGGAAAATATACAGGATCCATCGGTAAAGATTCATGGTAAATTGCTCGGGTCCTTGTACAGCTTTAGGAAGTACCTAACTCCTCCAGCTATGCTCTGTCTTTACAAGAACCAGATCAAACAAACAATTGATTACTGCTGCTATACCCGGGCTGGAGTTTTCCGGTCTTGAATTTCCAGTTTTGATAGAATTCAAGACCGTCTACGCGGACTTGTGGGTGATGAATTATTTTCCACTCTATAACTTCTTTCCTACAGACGAAACGTCGCAAACCTCTCTCTATTTCCATGTTCTGGCGAGCTACATTCATTAGTCCCACTAGTTAAGAACTTTACAGTCAAGATCCTCCATGCCATGTATACTGGGGCGATTCATTTCTATCCCCTTGTATTCTATTAGTAAGAATGAAGTTTCATTCGGGTAGCTTCTTCCCATGAACCGCCATCTTGGAAGACAGACTTCATAGAAGTTGCCTCTCATAGTTACAATCTAAACCTCTTAATGTCTTAGGTTGACCCATATCTTTCTTACATATCCTCATAATCTTTACTTGCCTCCTCCTCTGACGTTCATACATCATCATCATTAGGAATACTTTACCTAGAGCTTTGTATTTGGTAAAAAATTGTAAAAAAATAAATCTGTGAGTAAAAGCAAATCCTATCATAAATCTAAAACCTTTCTAAGACGATATACGGGGGACGATCCGAAAGTAAAGTCGCCAAATTATTTCCACAGAAACTCTAAAAGATACAGGGAGCACAATAAAAGAGGTGGATGGAGCAATTTTTGCCCACTGCCTAACTGTGCTCACATCCACTATTTAGTCTCTGTAAACATCTAGAGAATGTTTATGTATATTTATGGATGGTTTTTCCCGTATGGAGGAATTTAACGACAAACTTCTGCTTAGACGAACTTTCATGCCAGACATCACTTTGCTTAACTGCCACTCAGTTGCTCTCTGTAACAAGGCATACAAATTATGAGTTAGTAGCGGGTAGGTTTATTTTCTACTGTCATAATTCCAACCTCTACCTCTGACGTCATGAACCAACATAATAGTGTTACTTTTGTAATAACCCTCGTATTTTCAATATTATCGTCGAAATCTTTGATTATTCTGTTCATATTTGAACCGTAAAGAACGCTACAGCAGCAAAAGGACTAAATTTCAAGTTATAGAATTTTCTCTTCACTTGGATGTCATGAATCTAACCATCATGAAAATATTTTTTTAATAAAAAAATACATTTTTGAATTTTATTATTAGCCTAGCTTAAAGGCCGCATTTCGTGCGAGCTTATAACCCGCATTTCGTGCCTAGCTTAAAGGCCGCATTTCGTGCGAGATTATAAGCAAGGTTCTACGGGGGTCTAATTAGGACTCCGGTCGCAAAATAAAGGGACCCCTTAGAACTTAGAAAACAGCAATGGTAATTTTGAATTTCGTTCTATTCCAAAGTTTCCGATTAAATAATTATGAATAACCTTCTGACACTTTAACACCGGATTAGATTGTGAGGTCCTACTGAAAAGAGATTGTGCTTCCGGTAGGAACCAAATCTGTATCCCTTTTTTTCCGTAGAGAAACCTCTGCTATAGTCGAAACGTGTCGATTCCAGTTTGACCACGGAGGGCGCGTTGATAGAGCAACATTATAATTACCTATTTAAGGAAAACGCATTTCTTGTCAAGACTTCTTTCAATCTTTCTGACATTATTCCTTATTACTATAAATGCTATTTTAGTGAACACGCGCATTTGCGTTACTATACTCGTTTTTTTTTTCTAATTTTTTAAACAGTGACATTAAAAACAAAGCAATAAAGGTTGAGAAGAATATAAATCACTTTTATAACAAGAAGAAATAATAGTGGATAAATTAAAAAATCCAATAAAAATGACCGTTATTTACGTATCGGATACGAAACTGAAGCTAGCAGATATAAATTAGTAGAAGTCTCGGCGAAATATGTGCATTCCTCAAATATGAACTCAGTCTTTGCTCTGTCAGCAACTCATGAAGTTATACTGCTGAAAGTGAAAATAATTACGCAAATGAACGTGAGCAATTGTTTTGTGAATGAAAACTCTGCTTTTAAATGTGATTACTATTACAATTGAGTTTAGAGAATTTTTACTTAATGAATTATTGCTAGACGATCAAAAACTGTTTCGTAAATTTATGTAAACAATCTACGCTCTGTTATGATAATGTCGTACGAAAATCTACCGCGCTATCATTTAACCTTTTGTGAGCCAGTCTGCATACATTCAAAGGAGAGAACAAGGCTTTCGTCCATTTAGTCTAACTTTCTGAATTGTTGTTTAACATTGCGAATTTTTGTGATTGTTATTTAAACAATTAATGTTTTTTTTTAAATCCAGTTTATATCTCATTGCTTTAAAGGTTAACGTTTATAGTAATAAAAACAATATTAAAAATTCAGTAATATTTTATTTATGTTTCGGTTACGAAAATAAAATTGGCAGATACACACTTCAAAATAACTCAACGAAGGATCTGCATTTATTAAATAGGGTAACAGAACATTGCTTTGCTGTAACGGCTTCTCTTAGTTTAGTGGTAAATGGCTGGCGTTTTTAAAAATCTTTTCCGCAGGTTAAAGGGAATACGGGTTCCATTCCAGCCAATAGGCATATTTTCTTTAATAAGATATTGATTTCATTGTTAAGAAAAAGAAAAAAAAACAATAAAAATCTACCGATTATAATATTTATATTAATAAAACTATTATTTATAAAAATGTATATCATTAATATATATATATCAAGATAAAATAGCACATCTCTACAAAAAAACAAACTTTTATAAAATGTGGCATTGCATGATTTGTTTAATGTTTAACAATTTTCGGGTGTAGAATGCAAAAAAAGAAAAGAAAAAAAGATTCCATCGACTATCCTTAGCTTTAGTATTCTTACTTCTGAATATCATATTCTACATACAAAATGGTCATAGTTGTGTTACGTCAGTATAAATGTGAAAATAAAATGCTTATTTGATGCTGAAAAGGAATACGATCTATTAAGAATATTGATTCACTGATAATTGTGCAAATGTGTTCAACTTTGTAGACATATGGTATAAACATTATCAATAGAGATTCTAAAAATAGAAGAAAAAAAAGTAAATATACTGTACGATTTTGAAATATACATATATTCATGTAATAGAAATACGACCTCACTGTTGTTCATGTAAAGAAATACGACCTCACTGTTGTGAACAAGGCAAATAAATTCATCTATAACTTTTCAAACTGAGAGTAGTTAACTTCAGAATGAAATAAATTTGACTATGAACAGGCTGTTCTTGTCTCGCCCGAAATGCGGCTGTTTCAACTGCTCGCGGCTATTTCAATTGCCCGCGGCTGTTTCAATTGCCCGCGGTCATTTGCTGGTGATGTTAATCGAGCTGGGAACATCTTGGTCTTGTGGCCTGTCACTGCCAGCTGCTGCGGGCTGTCTCCGTGGGTTAGTGGTGTCAGTTTCTCCCACACACACAGTGCAATTGTCGCCAGTCTCTCCCTTACAAGCGGTACCACCTTGTGCATTGCCAGTAGGTTATAGTTGTCTCCGGGGCTTCGTGGTGGGGTTCTGGCTAGGCGTTTGCCAGCAGCCGGTGGTACTATATGATTTGTTTTAAAATTATCGAAAAGAGTAAAACTAGCTTTCTTACGCACCTCGGCTTGAGGAATTTGTCAGTTGCTGGTTCTATGATATCAAATTAACATAAACTGTCTTTGCTTTCTGATTTGTATTTCATTAAACTTTCCAGCTATTAATTTGAAGTTGAGGATTCTCAAGTTGAAGTTGAAAAATTATATAGTATGAGCGTGGCAGTTTCATTGATTGCTTGATTTTGTTTAGCGCCATATCAACCCCTATGAGTTATTTAATGGCCAATCCAAATATTCTGTACGCAATTTTATGGCTCCAACTACATATATTTTGAACGTTTTAAGCTTTCAATTCCGGATAATTTGTACATAATATTATACATTCGGATAAATGAGTCTGTCTATATTTCTGAGATGAGGTATTATGTACATTATTTACATTATTCGGACTATTGTCCTCATCTTTGTCGCCATATTTATTACAACGTTTCGGCCTTTCAGTATCTGTCTATATTTCTGAGATGAAGTATTATGTACATTATTTACATTATTCGGACTATTGTCCTCATCTTTGTCGCCATATTTATTACAACGTTTCAGCCTTTCAGTATCTGTCTATATTTCTGAGATGAGGTATTATGTACATTATTTACATTATTCGGACTATTGTCCTCATCTTTGTCGCCATATTTATCACAACGTTTCGGCCGTTGTACGCTCCGGCCTTCTTCAGGTGTTTGGAATGTCGAACTGAACCCTTTATTTCGCTCACCGGGGTAGACTAGTTCCACGTGCCATGTTTGATGGATGTCAGTTATCAGTTATCTCCTGTTAATTTCCTCTGAAAGTTCTCCACTGCCTTAACCGGGTATTGAACTCACACTCTTTGGCTCCTGTCACTGGATCTAACCAACGCCTTTATCCACTGTGCCATGTGTCCTTGAGGAAACATGGCACGTGGAACTAGAAACAGTCTACCCCGTGAGCGAAATAAAGTGTTCGGATAAATATATATTATATATATATATATATATATATATATATATATATATATATATATATATATATATATATATATATATATATTAATTTGTAGAAAATTATTACTGGTAATTTCACTACAAAAATGTATTGCCTATTTTAAAAAAATAAAATGTATTTTTATACTTTCCTAGTACCTTCAGTTTTGTTTAGGGTACACTACTTACCCATAGCTGTGACCCTAAGAGGTGCTATCACTGTGGGTCAAGATGGACCTGTGAACAAAGAGCATTTAAGAGGTGACTCCACTCTCCTCAAAACCTCCAGTCTTCGGATCAGAGCCCTTGTTGCCAGATGTATTTTATCTTCTTACCCAGTACTTTCAGTTTTGTCAGACTTCGAAGTGAAAGAAAAATTTATAATGACTCCTTGTTAGCATGATGGTCCCACTCGTCCTCATGTGATTGGTGGCTTTTCTGGATTTGATGATCAACAGAATATATATTGTTCTAATGTGACTTCTATTTAAATAATAGGATTTCGTCCAAGTCCTGAAGAAAACATGGAAGTGAGATATGAGTTATGCCTGTAATAACTGGGGCACTATTGTCAGGAAGAATCAAAAAGCGACATTCGAGGCAATGGTAATTTGAGAAAGTGTCCGCACTGTACTGAACACAGAAATATTAGGATCGTGAAGAATGTTCAGGAAGGTGCGGGGATTTGAGGAGATTTACTATCACTTAATCTTGAATGACAATCACATGACACCTGCTGTGAACATAAAAAACAACAAAAAAACAAATCTCCAAGAATTGGCCAAATATGATTAAAAACATGGTGGGCAAGTGAATCCTTTTTAGATAACATAAGTAACCCGGTTATTCTTCTGTAATGTTTTGTTTCTTTGAAGAAGAATTCCATTGTTGGCTTGTAGAACACTATTTTTCTAATGTGTCTGTTAGTCAAAGAATTGGAACAAATTTGTTTTCTGTCCCAAAAGGTAAAATACCTAAATGATTACATCAAGTAAAGCGTCTTGCAATGAAATTGCGCTGATTTGACTTTTGGACGAATGTTTCTCATGAAAATGTACTGCAAAAATTAGTATTGCAAGCAATGAGTTTTGGTGCCTTTTATTTGTTTTTGTAAAAACAACAAAAAGTTTATTGATGCTCGCTTTAATAATATTCACCCAACTTAATATTATGATGATTTGTCTTAATTATTTTTCTTTTTTTTCTTTTTAGATTTACTGGAAACTAGCATATCATCCACAGATGCAGTTGCAATTCAAAAAGCAAAACTATTATATAGATCATGTATGAATGAATGTAAGTATTCGTCTTACTTTTTTTTTATTTGGATGTTAAATGATAACTTTCATTTTATTATTTGAAGCGATTCTATCTTTTGTTACTCATTTACCTCCTTTCAGAGAGAAAGAGATCTGGTGTTTAAATATTGAGACATATGTGTAAACAATTTTCGTTTTCTAGTAAAGGTTAAATTTACCATTATCCTTTAACCTAATGAGTTAAAAATGCAATGATATAGAAATGTATCACACAATATAAGTTAAATAATCATCATTTGTATCAGTCTTAAAGTCAAAATAATAAAGTTAGACTCCTTCCTTTACCTACTCAGTCTTTTCAGAACGTGGGCTATCATGACTTTCCACAACTTTCTATTATCTATAATTCGAAGCAAATCCCCCCCCTTCCTATCCCGCAAGTGCATGTTCTGCAACTTATTTACACAAATTAGCTGTCTCTCTCGGTCTCTCCTGCTTTCAATAGGTCCTGTAAGAGTAACATTTTCTAAGCCCTCTTTCCAAATCATGTGTCTTTTTTGTTGCCATTTTTCATAAAGCTTCCTTATTGCTAACATGTTTCTTCATGATATTCTGTAGAATCATAAACAGCTGATAAAATTTTACGATTGGTCTTTATTAATTTTGAAATACGAATATGACACAAATTCAGGTCTTTAAGTTTATGTTTTAATGCTGTAAATATCAATTATGTATTAAAAGTTTTTGGAGATTTCAGAATCATGTTGATACCCGTGTTTATAATTGCAACTATTTATACAGACATCAATAATCATTACAGATTTGAGAATCAGAGCTCTCTTCTCCGCATATTATGTTGATGTCCGTGTTTATAATTGCAACTATTTATACGGACATCAATAATCATTACAGATTTGAGAATCAGAGTTATCTTCTGCGATCATGAGTCTCCAAAACATCCTGTCCTTTGTAGTTCTTTTGTTTTTTGTTATTTCTCCTAAACTTTGTTACGCCATCCATTTAATGAAGCTCGCTAGATAGGTTATATACGGTATTTCCATTCGCCTCTCTTGCCTTCAATATGTCCTGTGAATATCAAATTTTCCGAGCCCTATTTCCTCATTATGCGCCCTAGAAATTTCACTTTTTTCTTTCTGATTCTAAGTTTAAATGTCCTCTTTGTTTCCATTTTTCTTTAAATCTTCATTGCTCACGTGTTCATTTCATGGTATTCTCATAGAACCACAGTATCCTCTAGTAGAACCACAGCATCCTCTAGTAGAACCACATTGTCTCAAGCCTTTTCTTCGTATAAGGAGGAGATTTTCCAGCACTCACACTCATATATGAAGAATGATATTACAGTTTAATTCAGTTTCTTTTTTTTTCTTTCTAACGAAATGTTTTTGTTTCTTAATATTTTGCTTAGTTTTGGGAATGTATCTTTCGGATTTCAGTGTCGCACTTTCCGTCCTCTGTTAAAACACTTCTCGGATATTTAAAATCATTAAAAGCCGGTCAACAGTATTGTTCTTGTAAAGCATTCAAATATATATACACTGTTAAGTTATAAGAAAAAATGGTAATAGAAGATTATGATTACGAAATGATATCAAAATGTTCCTGGATTAGTTAGGTTTATAAAAACCTTAATATATTTGCCTAAGTTTTAACATTATCTATTTTGAATAGTGACCATGAGCAACAATGGTCCCACTTACCACTTTTGGAATCCGGCTTGGAAGTTGTTTTCCATAAGCAAACCGAGGACCTTCTGCTATTCGCTCTGGATCTCGGCAACGGTGTTAAAATGGCGACCTTCGAGCTGCATTTTCTGCTCGGAGAAGGTATGGAAGTCCGCAGGTGATAAATCTGAGGAATGCCATATTCGGAAGCGATTCGATGTTGTTTTGGGCTAGAAAATCACGAGTGAGGAACATTCGGTGACAGGTGCAATTGTCGTCGTGAAGTATCCAATTTTTCGTACTCCACAGATCCGATCGTTTTCGCCGAACGTCCTCCATCAAACGTCTCAAAACATCGCAGTAGGACACTTGATCGATGGTCTTGCCCTGGGAGACGAATCCTTGATGCAAAATACTGCGGATATCGAAGAAAAGAGATGAGGATTTTTTTGCATAACAAAATCGCAGACTATAGCATATACGTGATAAAAAAAAAACACAAATTTCACAAATTTGCGAAGTGATCACAGCGATGTCACACGGCACATTGGTATATGAATGTCACTGCTCTCTTTTAATGCGCGCACAACCGTATGTTGTTATCTGTTGGCGTGCTACAGTACTAGTCCTGAAATCTTTTAATACCACCTAGTATGTTACCTAACCATGGCACCATTCTTGATAGGAAAGTTCTTAAGAATGGGATATAAATTTTGATCTCAATCAAATATGACTCTTTGGTTCGATTTATCAGTTTTCATTTCATCACCGAAGAATTTTATTGTTTTAAACCATCAACATAACACTATCTGCACGAATAGATAAAAGAAAATTAGACAAAAATATAATGATGCTAAATTCCATTTTCATTGTCCAATAACAATTAAGGACAGTTGAATTTATTCTTTGAATCTGAGCTAATACGTACTACTTTGGTTGCAGCCGACGTTAAGTTTTTTTTTCTTTCCTCCACGCTCGCTTAGGGCGTGTCAGCTTGGCATAATGGGAAGCGTGGCATATCAGACTCTATTGATTACTAGTAAATCCAAGCCTCACTCTGGTGCTCTATGGAAAATTCGATTTAAAATAACTCTGCAAAAGTTGACAAGTCGTAAAATCAACCAAACTTCTTTCTCTCTCTCTCTCTCTCTCTCTATATATATATATATATATATATATATATATATATATATATATATGGAGACTTCTAAATGTTATCCAATTCAATTTTTCAGACTTACCTTTTGTAAACAAGACGAAATATTGAATGAGACAGAATTTCTCACCATTATTTTTTTATTCAAGCAATAATTAGAAATAATTATCATATCTCTTGTTTCTCTAAATAACCCCGTTCGTCGTTTTCTAGCTTTTAAATGGTACGGAATATCAGACAGTTTACATATTTATAGTGTTCTTTATATGCATTCTTAGCAGAATATAAATATTAGAAGATGCAATAAAATGATGAACATTTGCGTCCAATGAAACAGATTCAATGATGAGCAAATAAACCTTAATGTTGTAAATTGAGAGGGATGTGCAGGAGACGTGAGTGAAAAAATGAGATGAAGAAGGAAAAAACATTTCCGGTTGTGAATGTCGATGACAGGAGATGCCTGGTGATTTAATGATCTGCCGATTAAGTTCCTCTCTTGAAGCTTCGTTGCTTGATGATGCTGGTTATTTATTGTTCATCTTTCAAATCATAAGCTATTTTATAAATTTTGAGGTAGAGCGATTCCTATAGTCCATCACTATGACCAGGAACATGGCAGATTGAGTCATAAGCATGAACAAAGAGGAAAGGGGATTGGCTTGTTATCAGTTGGTCCGATTCTTTCCTTTATGTCTACATGAGGGTGCTACTGAAACTTTTATTCTCCCCACCTTTTTCTTTTTTAGATATTAGTGCGGATTGGTGCCGCTTAAACTTGCATTGGTAAATGGAAGAGAGTTAATGCGACAGTGTTAAATAATAATGTTTTCGCTTTGTTGCATTATAGCTGTGTCAGACACCGGAAATTAAGCTGTGGCGGGAACAGATAAGCGGGGGTCACTGGGTCAGACTATAGAAACTACCAGACTTTGAATTGCAAACTTTTGAAACACACAAGTATTGCAGTTACTGTTAAATATTTTAAGTATGTCTAAAATGTAAATACATGTAAAAAGAATGCGTCTATCTAATGCCGTGTCTTGACCTAGTCAGGGTTCAAATTGTTAAATCACTTTATTATCCTTTCAAATTAATGCAGCCCCTAACTCCTTTGAGTATTATTCGCTTCTTGAGAGTTGATCGCACCCACAAAATGGTGTTATTGATTACACAGAAAATTCCTGGTCAAAAGTAATCGGTCTTTTTATCTTTCTTTTATCAGCTGAACCTGAAATCTTCAAAACCGGATGAATGTTTTTTCTTTCTTTCTCAGCACTATGTCAAAACTTTGTTTGCTATCAATGGTTACGATATACTGATCGGACTTGTAAATAAGTTTTCTCGTTAAGATTTTTTTAATAGATAACCAAATGATTTTCATTGAATGTTCATCAGTGTGATGATTTGAATTATTTTTCCATTGTTCAACTTTACAGCATTAATAGAAGAGAGGAGCATAACAGAAATTGAAAATGTAATTAAAGGTGTTTTAGGCGGATGGCCAGTACGAAATGCAAGTTGGGATCCTAATTCATTTAATTTGGTTCCCCTTCTGGTGGCTCTACGGCGATACAACACCCAACCAATCGTTAGTATCATGGTGCGAATTGACAGCAAAAACTCAACGAGGAACATAATCACGGTAAATATCGCATTTTATTGGCAATATTAAATAATTTAATATACTTTTTTTTGACAATATTAAATAGCTTATATATATATATATATATATATATATATATATATATATATATATATATAATATAAAAAAAAGGGCTTAAACACTAATATTCCATGGTCATAATTTATTCGATTGGAATCGTAAATACGATCCAAATCATCAGACCTACAAATTCAAAATCTTTTGAATTTGTAGGTCTGATGATTTATTATATCCTTACTCTGTCCTAGACATTGAGTTCTACCTGGATTTTTCCTCTTGGAAAAATTTTTTCTGAAAAAAATATACATGTATGGGTATTTTTAATATATATTTTGCATATGTGTATATTTTCCACTAATATTATCTATCTATATATATATATATATATATATATATATATATGTGTGTGTGTGTGTGTGTGTGTGTGTGTGTGTGTGTGTTTGCATGAGTATGTGTGTATGAATGTATGAAAGAAGACAAAATGAAAACTCACTTTAGCCGAAAGCGTTTCGTCCTCTGAGGGATTTTATCAAGGCAAATGTTAGGATTTTATTTTGAAATGGGTGTTCATAGACAGAATTACAAATGTTATTTTCTATGGAATTTTTAAATTTAAGAATGTTAGTAAATATCCATCAGGCTAACTGAAATGTCTAGGTAAATTATGGAAGATGCTAAGTGATATAATTTAATGTCTGAAACCAAAAATGAGTAAATATTGTAGTTGTTGCCTTGATTGAGTTCCTGAGAGGACGAAATGCGTCGGCTATGATGAGTTTTTCCTTTTGTCTTTTTTCGTATTGTCGTTAATTTTTTCAGAATGTTTAAATTCAAAAACGTTTATTAATATAAATCAAACTAACTGAAAAGTCAAGGCAAATTGTGAAGGATGCTAAGTGGTCTAATTTAATATCTAATAATCAAAAGTGAGTAAATGTTATTGCAGTTTGATGAATTTTTAAAAAGTAATTATTATTTATATTATTTTAGTTTGTTATTACATTACATATATATTTTAAATAAATTATTATTATTTAAAATATTAAAAAAAATATTATTTAAAATATAATACTCCAAAAACATGTCAGCTAAGATAATTTTTCCTTGTGTGTGTGTATATATATATATATATATATATATATATATATATATATATATATATATATATATATATATATATATAGGTGCGATGGTTAAGTTGTCGTCTAATTTAAGCAAAAATGAAAATAACACTGATATCTCATTTTAACAGATACATTTACCAAAATTACACAAACATATCTTGAAATACGAAAGAGTAAATTTATTCAATAAAATCGCCATTCGCTTCAACCACGGCCTCCAGACGACTTCGGAATCTCCTGCAACTCTTCTGGACAATCTCCTTGTTTAAGTTGGTGAATGCTGCCATAATCCGTGCCTTCAGTTCATCTTTGGTGTTACAAGGAGTTTTGTTGGTCTCTCAGTCAACTGCGCCCCACAAATAATAATCAAGTGGGGTGTTATCTGGGGAGTTAGGTGTCCAGAAATAAGGGATGATGTGGTCACAGAAATTATCTGACAGTCATGACTGGGTTCTCCTGATTGTATGGCATGGTGCAGAGTCCTGCTACCAGACATAGGGTCTTTCAGCAGCCACCTTCTTGAACCAGGACAGCACTATCTTTTTAAGGTACTTTATGTGGGCCTCCGTGTTGAGTCTGAAGCCCAGTGGGAAGATGAATGGAGGCATAGCATCGCGTGATCACTCTTACCACCATGATGTTGATTGGATATATCATCCAACTCTTTCCGAATTCTCTGCAGTGTCCTCAGATTCATACCCAAACACTCTGAAATGTTCGTATTGGAACACGTCGTTTCCAAGTTTCTGACGGAATAAATCACGTCATTGTGCTCTTTTTCTCACAGACGGTGCTCAACTGAATCTACTATTCTCTGTAGTTGACAAAATCAAAAACATACAACGCGTATGCGTAAAATTAAAAATATAATATGGCGACAATTTCCCCATCGAAACCTGTATATATATTACTGGTTTTTCTATTCTCCGCCAACCAAGACTATAGGGCCCAGTCTCTCCTGCTAATGACTCATAGTTTGGTTTTCTGTTGTCTATCCACGATTTTGAATTCAGGGAAGTCCTACTCGTTGGGAAGAAGAGATGACAATTCGAAAAAATGTTTTTAGAATTGTGTTATTGTTAATTTTAATTACATCTATATTTTCGTTGTCCTGTTATTGCCGAGAAGTAAAAAACAAAAAAATCTATTTCCATACCTGAAGATGTCTGTATGAACAGACGAAAGCTTGTAAAAAAACTAAAAAAAGACCTTATGTAACTGGAATTTATAAAATATCATTCATATACAGGTTCGGGGTTAATGTACTTTATTAAAATTGTTTGCGAAGATGTATTCTCGCCATTTAAATCATTAACTTCTATATCTGTTTTTTGTATGAATGATTCATGTAATATATATATATATATATATATATATATATATATGTGTGTGTGTAATTTTACACTATGTTTTTCGTGGGCACACTAGCTTTTTAAATTAAGTTTAATTTGATTATTAAATTATATGAGAAAAGATTATATAAAAACTCTCAATATCTGTCTAATAGTGGATAATTAAATGAAAAAATGAAAAACTTCTATGTTAAACTTTTCGTCTTTTGAAAGGACTTCTTCAGACTGAACAATACTTTTATTCATGGAAACATGTTGGATGAAGGAACAGAATACAACAAATGTCTGCGGGTTGTTTAAAATAACAGCGATAAAAACGACAAAAAAAGCGACAGAAAATTGAATGAGGTCGACTAAATTATGCATCTATGAACACAGATCACCAAGAATTTATAATTTAAATTTAACATTTTATGGTTTGTGCATTTCAGCGTTCCCTCGATGTCAATTTATAAGCGTCGTTTGTGGCATTCGTCATCTCCTTCTACATAGATGTGTTTCCGTCAATAAAAACCTTAAACTGAAAAAGTCCTTTCGAAGCATGAAACGTATAATGTAGGATTTTTTCCATTTTATCATTCAATTTATCTATTAAGTTATATGGCGGTAAGGTCGAAGAAGTAGAACCAGACTTCTGGCAAAGTGTGCGTGCTTCTCTGTCGCGTGGAGTCGTCCACCAAAATCACACAAATGGCCTACTCTTTGATTCACGGCCATCTCCGCCGTCGCCACCAGGGGAGGAGAAAGGGAACAGGTAGAGAGGATGACGATCCCGATGCTCGGATGCGAGCGGGGAGCCGACTGTATTTATAAAGATACAAATAGAATGAACATCTTGGTCGACTCAGATGGCACGAACTTAAGGTCAGGGAAAACACAGCCTGATTATTTATAATCTAAGTTGTACTTTTCTATATCTTATTTTGTGATATGATAGCATTACAGAAAAACAGTGATGCGCATTCGTTTGATATTCCATCTTATTAAACACAAAAGCTTTGTGGTGAATTTACAGACAAAAGTAACCACGTAATACCCGGTATATTGTTTCGCGTTCAGTTTTGTGTTCATAAAACAAACATATATTTAAACTGTTACATAGTTTTGTGTCTAAGTCTGAATATGACAGTAAATACAACTTATCAACATTCACACAATATTTTATAGTTTTCAATACGCAAGTTCAAGCAAATTTGCTAACTTATAAAAATACGATCTCTTGTATATTGGAAATACATTTTATGTTAAACAACACCTGAAGAAGACAGAAATCATTTTAAAACTTTCTCAGAAGTGAAAAAAAAAGGTTCCAAAATCTAAACTTTATCCTTTTAAAATTAATGTAATTAGTTTAATGTAAGTTTGATTCATACATTCAACATAAAACGGTGCTAGAAGACAAATTCTAATCTATTTAAACGCAGTCGAAAAACAGTGCTTTTCACAGAACAGGAAAAGACTAGGATAAAATGTAAATAAAATTCAATCAAAGTGATTTATTCGATTTGATTTTCAAAATGTCTACAGTGTTATCGTTAATTTCTTAAACCAATTCTCATTCATCTCAATTGGTGCAGTAGAAGTCGTCGTCGTCGACTGACTTTCATAAAGTAAAATCTATCGTAAACACAGCAGCGAAAACTATCGTATATGTAAAGTTTGTTTAGCACTTATCTAATGAGTTTTGTTTATATCAATCAAAATACGATTGAAATAATTAATTTTTCTTTCAAATTTCAGTTGGACACACCAGGCTTCGGAATGCCCGGCCGGAAGTATTATCTGAAGAGCCGAAATGACACGAAATTGAAAGCCTACGAAAAACTGGCCGTGGAGATGGCCATCCAGATGGGAGCCGACCCGAAACAGGCTCAGAAAGACATGGGGGACATTGTAGATTTGGAGATCAATCTTGCCAACGTACGACACATTTTAATGTAGCAATATTGGATTCTTCGGGGTTACATAGTATGTTATCGAGATCTACTGATTGCAACTTTTTATTTGTCTACATCTTAGCCACCTCCACTAATCAGATAGATGTTATCTCACCTCTATGTAACGACCACATTTCATTTCGTTTTTCACTTTATTCAAACCACTGCATTTATTTCTTTTTAACAAAATGAGTCAACCATATGGCGACGAAAGATTTTATTTATAAGGTGATTTTTGAGAATTTGGGGATTATATTAGCACATTCTAATGTCAATGATTTATATCATTTAGTTATTTGTATGTAGGCTATGTTTTTTCAGGGACTTAAGGTCTACTTTATTCTTATGCATTCCCAACCACCAAAGGCCGTCGCTGGGCTGCTTTGTTGATCTTCTGTCGGCATTTCTGTAGCTAGCGGATGTTTTATGAGGTGGGTGTGCTGATTTTCCGCCCAACTCTTGTTTTGCATCCGTGTGTGAAACCGGCATCGGCTGGGTTTTCTCAAAAAAAACAAAAACAAAAAACAACAACAACAACAAAAAAAGAACACCCCCCTATAATTTCAAAGTTTTTCTCTCCTTTCGTATAGTAAAATATCACTTATAAAACTTTATATATCGGCTCAGGTTTATTTATTATATGATAGAATTTTATGTTTCATTTTTAGAGTTTAAGTGAAATATCAGAGTTTGCATTCTATATAAACATGATGTGTTAAATTGTTATCCAGGGCAAATTAAGACGCTTATATATTCTAAAATCTCTAATGAAAACTATACAGGAACATTAATAATAATAATCAATGCCGGATATTTGAACACGTACTTCTTCTGCAATGTTTGATTTTTATCCGACTTGAAAGCATAGCGTTTTTTAAAATTCCACTGACTTATTTGTCGTGACAATTTGGTTGCATTATTTTGATCAGCCGAATTTCGCAAATATCGATCGATAAATGTTGGAAAAAAAAGCTAGTTTCTGCAGGATGAAATGAATTGATTATGACAGCGAAAATTCTAAGTATGAATAATTTGCGTATTATGACGAAGAGTTTTTAAAAAGTCCTACGGCGTCCCCAAAGCAGAACGTTTGCTGCGAGGTGACTAGAATGTCTTGTCAAAATTTGGAAACACCACAAAAAATAATGAAAATAAGACTCGAAAATAAAAAATTGCTATATTTTATTATGTGTAAAATCTTATTACGCCTATTTAGACCTCAAGTGGAACTCGTACGTTTAATTCGCTGAATTAAGACGCTGAAAAAATTGTCGGTTATCTGTACCGCTCCAGTAAGTACCTGACTCCTCCTGTTATCCTCTACTTTTACAGATCAGGCCAAAAATGGAGCACTGTTCCCATATACGAAAAGGTATTGCCAAGACTTCACTTTCCAGTTTCGATAGAGTCCATAAACATATCCTCGTCCTTGTGGGTGATGAATTATTTCCCGCCCTACATAGACTAATCATTACAAGCTTCTTGCTGTTCTGTCGTCATTTCCATAGAAAGTACTCAGGCGAATTACGTTCCTTAGTTCAACCAGTTCTAACCTTTACGTCTAAAACCCGCCATGCTACTCACATTTTATTGAACCACACTCATTCCTTTTGTATTCCATTAGTGAGAAATACATTCCACTTGAGCAGTTTCTTTCTACAAACCGCTGCTTTGATCACTACACTCTTAATCTGTTCAAACCTAGGTTTAATCTTTATTTCCCCTACATATCCGCATAAACAGTGCTTCTTACTCAGTAACCCTCTACCTTGAGTGGCTCTTTGAAGTTGCACAGGGTGTGCATCGTTGTAAAAAGTGGAAAAGTTAATATTTACAAGGAAAGTATATATTTTTATCATTGTCTTGACAGTAGAAGAAATTGATGCACCAAGGCTTTTGACCTGATCCTCGTTAGCGTCTTGCATCCAAATTGACATCATTGCTTCTTTCAAACGATCTGTAGAGTAGGTTTTATTTGATGCAACCTTCATTTCCATAACATTCTACAGATACTCTATCGGATTGAGGCCTGGTGAGTTGGTCAACGATTCCAAGAGCTGGATATCGTGATGCTGAAACCATTGTTTTATACATCTATTGGTAGGGCATGGAATACAATCTTGCATAAAAAGGATATAGTTCTTTATCTGTATGAATAGAATTTTTCTTTCCGATAACAGGTAAAAAATGGTTTCAAGTATCAATGCCACCCAGAATCAAAAATAGTTTTAAAAAAACAAACAGTTCTTTCAAACTTAGATCAATACATATTTTCTATTTCGTAAGTTTTGCACGCAATAAATGTATGAAATATTTTTAAATTGAAAAAAAAAATTTGGTGGTTGGATTTCCAAACTTTTGTAAGATACTGTAGGTACAAAAACCAATACATTTGCTTTTATATAAATTGTGTTTCTCAAGATAAGAATTTTTATTTCCTACCTTTCTCAAGAGAGAAAAATGATTGAAATGGGTTTGAATAACTCATATTGATCCTGTCTTTTCGTCGTATTGCAATCGAAATCTGAAGGTCTGGATAATTATGTAGCGGTTATGATAGCCTATTGGAATAAAAAACATATTGCTTGTTTACAGATATTTATTTACTTAAATCAAGATATAGACAAAGACCGGAAAGACTCATGGTTCTTCAGTCAGTTATGTGCCATGCGTGATATACGCTTAGGCGAGCATGTATCTTTCAATACATGACTGACGAGGCAGATATTTTCCCACAGTAGATTGCCATTTCTTTCTGCGGTAGACCAATTGCCAACCAAGGCTATAGAACCCGGTATGTCCTGCTACTTACCCATATCCGGGGGAGGAGGAGAAGATTCATACCTTTTCCAAGGGTATTAGCACGTAAGTGAATGTAATGGAATTCGAACTCGGTTCTCCGATTCCTCAATCCGAGCCGCTATCCATTACCCCACCGTGCCTCATTGTTCTTAGAGTATTTAATCGTATTCATCTTGGAAGTAAAGAATAGGATCCAGAGTATAATACTGAATATTCCATTTTAATCTTCAATGAAATCTAACATATATCTAAACTGTTTGTTTATAAGATAAGTGGAGATTATAACATGAAGTTTGGTTACTGCAAGAAATATTGAAACTTCAGAAAATGTAAACTATTTTGTTAGGAAAGAGATTTCTATTGTCCAATTACTTTGCAAATTTTCATTAAACCATTAACTAATCTCTATGTGATTTCTAACAATTTCTATAAAAGAATATTTACACATTTAAGTGTAACGTTTTAAGCGATTAACCACTTCATCACTTACTAATGAAATAAGAAATTGGAGCAGAAGTGTGGTCGCTGTAGGCCGTCTTTTCAAACGAAGTCGTCCAGTTTCTTTCATCGTGGATAGATTATCGAGTGGCTGGTTAGACCAACGTGAGGACGGCACGCTTCTCCGTATATCGGGCATCCGAAAAGATCTTGGGTTATAGCAAGGGAGAGATTCTGTGTGTGACGTCTTCGACGACGTTCCTCTGCCTTCTGGACCAACCTTATTTCTGTGGTTTGAACAGCATCCAAGTAGGCATATCGCCAATGATTCAATTAATCCGCTTTTCTAATTGGCGAGTTAAGATATGTAATATCTGGATGGCCCAAATGTGGGTCCTTCTATGACTTGTACTAACCACCTACAGCTGACTTCAAATCAACGAAGAAATTATTTCCCATTTGGATAAATTAATAGTTTATATTTTAAATTCCTTTTTACTCATAAGGGCAGTCAGTCAGTCAGTTATGTACCATGCGTGATACACAGGCAATCATGTATCTTTCGTTAGATGACTGACGAGGCAGATTTTTCTCGCGGTAGACCAGTTGACATCCAAAGCCATAGAACGTGGTCTGTTACTGCTATTTACCCGTAGATGGGGAGATCATACCTCTCCCAAAGGTATTAACACATAACTGAATGTAATGGATTTGGCTGGAATTCGAACTCGGCTCTCCGATTTCTCAATCCGAGACGCTATCCATTACTCCACCGTCAAACAATTACTCAATGTACATAATGGAACCTTTCTTAACTTTGGTCACGAAGAAATAATCTGTTTTAAAGCATTAAATAAATCAATGAGTTCAGAAGTAATTAATAATTTATTTTTATTTTCTCATTTACATTCAAATTTTGATTGGACTGTTTCTTTGGCTTTGAAATAATGGAGTGTTCATTTTCTATACATGACCCTAATCAATGCCATAAGTCTTGGTTCTACCGTCAACACACTTTTCCTTTAATCATATCTTTATGTGTACATCGCCTTGTGTAGCTGATCTGTTTTTGCAGAGGCATAAGCGCTAAATAAATATATCGGTGATTGTTTCATTTAAAATTTTTAATACTACTGCAAACTTTTACGAAAATTTGCCTTTTAATTAAGGGTTGGTTGATTTTGTTTAGCGGCATATCAACATCTACGGATTATTTAATACATTTAAATCTAAATATTTGGAACACTATTTTATGGCTTCAACTAAATATATTTTGAACGCAATTGCATGTCTTCAACTACCGATGTACTGTTGGTCATTTTGCTATAAAATGTATTGTTAATTCTACTATAAAATGTATTGCTGATCATTTTCCTATTAATAAGTTTGTTCGTAATTTTATTAAGATATTGTTGATAATTTTATTATAAAATGTATTTTTATACGTTCATAGTGTTTTGTTTTTGTTTAGGGGTTCACTATTTGCCCGTAGCTGGGACCCTAACAGGTGCTACCACCCCGGGTCAGGGTGGATCTGGGAACAACAGTAATTAAGAAGTGGTTCCACGCTCCTCAAAACCTCCAATCTCCTGATCAGTGGCCTTGCTGTTGGATGTAGTTTATTGTCTTTACTCGGGACTATTTAATTATGAGCAAGCATTCAAAATAACAATTTCAGAAATAAATAGAAGATAAATTAAAAATGAAGTTCATTTTAGAGAATTGTATATTCTTGTTGCCAAG